ATATATATATATATATATATATATATATATATATATATATTAAATCAACAAACTGGTGTTCCAATTATCAATTCGATGATTTGAGGAACATTTTGAGGAAGTTTGTGGATACAAAGATAAAAATATTTATTGTTCCCTGCGCTTTGGTAAGCTTGAATTTGTAAAAGAACAAAGATCGGCGCATTGGAGTATGCGTTATCGTTGAATTTCTCGATTTTTTTTAGTAGGAAATAATTATGGTTGCTTTTAAGCAATGCAGTTTTTATGGCCCAGTTCTAAGTAGTTGCTAATTTCCCCGTCCTAAGTAACCTCTGGATTCTCCTAAACCTTTTCGACCCATTCTGTATTGTCTAATTCTCAGTGATTGGGTCTCACGAACTATGACTGACCCCCCCCATATGCATTTGGATCTAACTCTGTGCATCGCATTCGACTGTCGGTGTGGATAATCCGGTTCTCTCTTCTCTCGTTTGTGTCAAGTGTTGGCTTGAAGTTGCTTGGAGTCAGAATTTGTTGTAGATAAGATTGTAGACAATTCGTATAAATAGATTGCATCATTATCCGTGAGGTTTGCGGGAAATGGATAAAATACTTGGCACACAACACAAGGAACATTGCTTTCAGCTTTTCAATCAGTTTACTCCATAGATGAAGTGAAGAACATCTTTCTGCCGTAATCACCACAACTTGTTGAACGTACTGAACACAAACCCATCCTTTCTGTGTTTCTTCTTTCCGTACTGTTCATTTTTCTGTCACCTGTTTCAATTTTCCTTGTTTGTTCGCAGCGTTTTGCCCGTATCATCTGGGTCATTTTACTGTGATCGGTTTCAAACTCGAAAAGTTGGTAAGTGTTTTTGAAATTACCAAAAGCTTCTTTGACCCGTTCCGTTTATCAAGTTTGCGCATTCCTTCGCTTTCGTTTGTCCATTCAGTTACAGCCAATTGTGCCAGACACTGGACACTTCTTTTCTTCCGTACTCCATGCTGGAACACCTTCGAATTCCTCAGAGGCGTGTTTCTCTTTCATGCGTGTGACTGACCTTATTGGTCATGGCTGCTATTTTCATTTGTCATATAATCAATTTGTTCATTCTAATGTCTATCGGGTTGTTATATGCAACAAAATTATTTTGCCATTGTGAGGTTGGTAAAAACTCACATATTTGGGGACAAGCATGGTGCCAACATAACAACAATGATGATATGAATGATAGGAGTTAGGCGCAGATAAGTAAAATGAAAATAGGGAAAACGAATAACGGAGGACAGAAGAACGTTTGAGTGATTTTCTGTTAGGTTTACCCTTGTCTATTATGATGAACGGGGTTTCCAAAAATAAATCGTAGATCGAGCGCGCCACTGATCGCTATTCTGAGCTACATCTCCAAGTGTCTCCAGCCCTAGGCCATGATCATCCTTTGGGTCCCGATCTGGAAGGCAGACTGCACCAACCGAAGCCAAAGCTGTACTGTATGTTGTACAAGATATAGACGACGAATGACTTACGCTAGCAGCTTTAACGCAAATGGGATCAGGCTTATCCCCCGTGGTTCGCGCAAACACTTTGTGTGCTCTTTTGAAAGATGGCAAAAGCAGTCTATTCCCCACTAGAAGGGCTCAGTGCGCCAAACTTCGGGGGCCAAATCCTGCAGTCCTCTAACAAGCTTCATTCCAGCATCTTTGAATAGAGCTATGGGGAGACCATCGAAGTCCGGCATTCTGTCATGTCCAGGCGCTTGGATCTCCGTTTCAGGTGGGTATGTCAAGACAAACCATGGTACGTGTACCGGAATAGTTGTGGGAGAAGCTGACGCGGGTGACCTGCTAAACCGTGTTCTGGCCAGCGTGCGAAACGTCACTGTTGATTGTGAATAGGGGAACCATCAATTATCAACAGGTCGTTTCACCCACACCGAAAGCTTTCCCGCCGGTGACCCTGATAAGACGAAGCAGGATGAAACGGGAATTTCCGATGATAGCAGCTTGTTTTACGTCCGATGCACGTCGAGACTACCAGGCCTCACGGTCTCTATTTCAGTTCAGTTTCAGTTTTTTCATGCACATTTGTGCGGTGGCTTTAGGTTGTCCATTGGGATAAAAGAGCAGACGAAAGCTGCGTCACAAAATGTACCGTAAATGTGGCTACTTGAAAAGTGCATTGAGGACGAGGAAGAACTTCAAATGAGAGAAGAATTCGATGAAACTTCGACGCTTGTCGAGGCGGGATGCGAGAGAATAAGGATGGAATTTCCATCTGAGGCACTACTGTTAGTGCCATCGTTTGAGATTCCCGATATCATTGAATGTGAGTTGTAGGGATGGGAGCGAAATGGTGGGTACAGGTAGTGAGATGTGTACGGTGTAGACTGTTTTTGAGTACAAATGATCATTTCATGCGTTGTGGTATGTTGTACTGTTCGGTCACCTGGAGTAGACCTTATTTGAGAGTGCATTCTAGCCTTTGCGCAACGAAGCGTGAACATCATGGCAAACGTTGTTCCAAGTGAGCCGGCCACCAAGTGGTTTGTTGTTCGCCTCTGGGGAAATTTTCTGGTAGCTGGAGCGCGACAAGGATGGAAATGACCATATTCTCTGGCGAGCTGCTACCATCACGTCTCAGCGCTGTCAAGAAATACACGTGTTATTTTGTGCAGAGAATCCCTGTCCAGAGGTAAATCCACCACATTCCGGAGCACCGCCGCTGTTCGCTCGCGATCTCTTATTCAGTGAGCCTAGACACGCCTTATTCACGGTTTATCGCGAATTGGCAGCCCTTATCCTATCCTCGATCTGGAGACGCGCTCAGTAGCACAGCTCTGCCCTTCCAAGTAAGCGCTGTTGACTTACTGATGTTCCTGCATCATTGTTGGCTGCAAGTTAGGGCATGTAATTTCTTATGCAATGTGAGTTTTGTATGTAGTTACTTACACATAGGTTATTTGGTGCTTTAGTGAGACGAACTGTTTACTTCAATCACCGCTAGTTCAGAATGGTGAATCAAGTGTCGTGTAGAACTTTCTCATTGTTTTTTTCCATCTGCCTCGGATTTTCGCCACCAGTCTAATTCTAATTCTGTTTCAGGTTGCCATTACTCATATGGAGGGTTTGAGTATCGGGATCATTGGCTATCTGATATTCGCCGGTGCGCTTGTCTTCTTTCATTCCATTTTTCGATTGATGGGTATGCCAAAGTAAGTACTATTTATATGTCCTATATCTCTCCCTCCCGCCGGCTTCGTTTCATCTCCCACCGGATCCTTTTCTTTCGTTAAACACACTACCAGATCCACAAATGCTTTGTTAGAACTGTGGGGAAATTCTTCCACATGTGCCTCCATATTCATCCTTGACTTCACTGCTAGATTGCCTCCGTCCAGTTTCAGACACATGTCCATTAGTAGAACACATGCACTGACCTAAATGGTAGCTAACTCTTTACCTACCCCTCTAATCTTATTAAATGCCTCCTGTAGTTCCGATGCTTTTTATCTAGGGAAGTCTGTGACATTATGTCGGTTTCAACCTCCCTCTCGTTCTTTGTTCACCGATAAACGGGTCATCACATGATGCTTTGTGTTAAGAACCCCTAGTTTAGTAATACTAGTGGGGATCTAATTCTTAAACCTGACGATTTTGTTGTTTTTTATTGCTGTAATTTCTCATCACGAAAGAGAGAACTGCTCTGTGGATAAATGTCGGATTTACATTTTCCATACTACCTTGGGCGTAGCGTTGTGTACTGTCATTGTTAACGTCGATTAACCACGCCTTTCGGACTTCACCTTCATGCAAGGTTTTCCGCTCATTCAGTCGAACAGACATTCGCCAAACGTTAAACTCCAGTTTATTTCTCAGTAGAATTCATGACTAGTCTTTTCTATTTGCAAGCTCATCTAATATTATATATATATATACATTGTAGTATAGCAACCGGAACTTCTGGAACTGTCTTCCAGACAGTTTTGCTGTTGCCGTGCCATTCCAACATACTTCGCCACCCAACCGTGGTATTTTTGGCTACTGAGTTCGCTCCATCTTCCTTTTAATGAACTTGGGTGTAACGGAAAATGCTTCTCAAATTGCAACCGTACTTTTTACGCGCATCATCGACCGGTTAGACCTGTATGGACTCAAGGCGAAGGCCAATAAGTGATACTTTTCAATCATGCCATTGAGGTCTAGTCAAGTCTACTTTTAATCATGTGTGTATAGATAAATTCAGAGTCTGATACACATTGAAATGCTTCGTCATCGTGTGCAACCAGACCTCGGGATGATCATAACAGATGGTTAGAGACACTGAGTGATGTGGTTGAGTGTCGTAAACCGTGGCGTTCTTGCATCTTCTCAATTTCTTTGCAACATTAGACCACTGAAATTCTCCGTTTTCTGTTTGAGTCCACTTTCAACCTTCCTGTTTTCCTCCTACTGTTCATCCAAATGGGCAACCAAAACCGGCGCACGATAGTGCATGGTTAATGGTTGTACAAACTGAACTGAACTCATGCTGATCACATGATACTACTGTTTTCATTTCGGTGGACCGAACTTTGGTGCGCGCACACAACTTCCCCCGTTTTTTATTGTCCCCTACACATAACATTTGTGGCATTCTCTTTGAGATATTTATCAAACGAGTGTTACAAGGATGCCTAGGATGAGAAGGGCTTGTAAGCTGTTTTGATATGCTATCTTTTTCGATAAGAGTGAATAGAATATTGAAAAGGAACTTCTTGGTTGATCCTAAGCACATAGTTACACTGTTCACCTACTTTTGAAAGCGTATACGAAATAGATGCGACAGAAATTTGTGATAACCGACAAAGAGTTATTTTGTCCCATTTGTGGCTCGTCAGCAATGCATGCCAGTTGGGGTCCTATCGATTCCCTTGTTCACCAAATGTCACTAAATCTGCCGTATCTTACATTTACAAGTAACGTTTTCCGTTTTCTACAACCCACCTCCCATTGCGTAAACTGTTGTTCTGATGAAGATCGCCCGGAGTACACTGTAAACACTAAAGTCGTCCCCACTATGGTAACCTTTAGTGATTAAGGTATCGTCAGTTGCTGAACAACCACGACCATCTGCGACTTAGCTGTAGCTCGTAGTAAACATTGTCTTTATTTGTGTTCATCGACTTGCGGTCAGCTTGCCTGTCTCACGCAAATCTCGCGGCTTCACCAAATCGACGTCCGTTAGCGATCTCGAAAGATTAAAGTCTGCCTCAATTCAACACACTGAACGTGCGTGGGAAGACTGGTGGTCCGTCAATCAGTCAGGGGGTAGAAAAACGTGCAATCAATTGACCATTAGAGTCCACTGAACTGATCTATCCACAGCTTTTCGTTCTCAATTCCAAGTGATGATTTTCTTATTCAGAGCGATATTTCCTGATACCAAATTGGAATTGGTGTTTTTTAATACCTGTATGCGTTTATCCGCATGTCGGTTAACTGGAATACTTCTGTATTCAGTCGCCATTCTCGAGGGAACCGGCTTGGTGTTATTTTGTTAAGGCGCCGTCACGATTCACTGTTGGCTGACTGCTGCTGTAACGGGGCTTTTCTCAGAGACCCCACCTGTATGTGTTGTGCTCGGTGCATAGATGCAGACGTACATGGTATATATATATATATGGATGTAAAGTACCTTTTGACTTCACATTTAAACATAGATAGACTTCGCCATAGTCGTTGAAGTTGATGATTATCTTCCAGGCATCATGTCCGTGTCGCTCCTCTATCATTCCTGAGGTATCGTACCACAAAGCCGTAACTGTCCAATATCTCTTGTCAGGCATACTTTCCCTAGGCTAACGTAAGAATTCCCTGTTCTGGTGTCAGTGGGTTATTAATTTTGAAACGTGTGAAGACTAGGTACCGATAACTTTTTTTCTGTTCGCCATGTGGTGTTGATTCTGGTTTCATTTTTTCTTTGTCTGCCGTTCCCGTCACTCACACCGTGCCTTCTCTCTAGCGCGTGTTATTGGACCGGTTTGTGCTATGTGTACATCAAAGTTGCATTGGTTTCGCTGCTCGAATTGGGCATATTTCCCGTGCTATGTGGTCTGTGGATTGACACATGCACTCTGGTGAGTTTCTTTTTTCTTTACACCTTGCTTGTTGCACCCTCTTTTTTTTGGGACAATTCTTCGCTTTGGAGTAGACTGAGTCGAGCTAAACAGTTTTTTCCTTCTGATAGCGTGCAGCTGAAGAACCAGTAGAGGTTTTAAATGAAGATACTTGCGGGAGCATGTTGACCGCTTGGTTTATTGGAAGCGGATTGGGCTACCTTCATTCATTCACTTATCGGGCTGCATCAAATTTAAATTTTGATTATTCCGGTAATGAAGACAACAAAGGTGTGCATTACCCAAGAAGATCGATTCTCATACCTGTTTTCAAACCGATGAAAGCTTCTTCAGTTTACTTCTTCAGATCGCAATATGATTTTCTCGGGTAATCGCTGTACTCGTGGGACCGTAGTCGTTCTGCTCAGTGCACTGTGCAACAAACGCAATTATTCTGTTTCAGGGAAGCCTTTGTGATAGTGATCATCTGGAAGTGGTGATTAGGACCTTTATGGACTTGTGAGTTTGGTGTCGGAGTGGGGTGGGGGAGGAGGTAGGGAGATCACGTCACGAATAGCATTTTCGCCAATCTGCGGCACCTGTGACACCACTATAACGTCTGACTGTCCCTTAAGGGAAGGGTGTACATTGCCGTGGTTCATAGTGTTGTCCTACGATTGCAAGACCTGGCCGCTCCGCAGTGAGTGCTGATCGAATTTCTGTACTCGATCACCGATATCCAAATTATTGTCCATGTCTAGTAAAAACATTGGGTGAACAATGACAAGGTTCCCCTTCTTGTGTTGGATGCGGATAGTCGTTCTCTAAGGGAATTAATGGCTCTGCACAGCCTCCACTGTCCTTTGCACTGTTTTGCATGTGCTGGGCAAGGCTGGAAGAAGCACCGCGGCGGTACACCTGGGGTGTAAAGAAATAGCTTTAGCTCTGACTTCGATTAGTGCAGCTCTCCTTCGAGGTTGGGGCCAAGTGATGAAAATTTTCGTTGGTTAGAGACGCTGAGAAATACGGCCCAGAACAGAAGTCAGTGGTGTGAATGCTGTACGGTCTTCCTGTTGAATTCCCGTGCCCCATAAAGAAAATCATTGAACCAACACAAAAATATCCAAAATTATTTGGTGAAACAAACAAATTATTCTTGTTATCCACTAAATTGTTTGGCCCTCTGTCTTGTATCCTAAACCCTTCTTTCTCTGCTATTCTTGTTGCTTTGGCACCATGCATGTTCGCAAGCCCATAATGTATATTGATATATCTTGTGCAAGAGTGCGACCAGTTATGCTGTTTGATTTGGAATTTATGCATGTGGAAGATATCCATGGATTAAAGATTTCCCTTTGTCGATATGAAGGATGTCCAAAGTTCATCTACTTATGATACACACTCGTCAGAGGTTAAGGACAGCATCTCATCTGTTTCCATAGTTGTAATGTGTAATGCGGAAGTGTGTAATTACTCGAGTATCCTTTGCCGCGATGACGCAACAAAACCCAGAAACCGTTCACAGGGTCTACCTTTTGACCGCTTTCAACTAAGTGGCTTGCGATGACTGAGGTCGATCTGCATAGTGCAGTCAAAATCTCTGGTGCAGGCTGAGTCGTCGATTCACATACCTACTTAGGGATGTGTTCGGCCATTCGCAGTGTTTTACTTATGCGACTGATGAGAGTATACGAAAGAAATTCCTTTCGCGGAGGTTGTCTTCTGACTTGTCTGGCATATTTGTTTATCTCGTGAAATAACTTTGTGAACATCTGCTCGCTGAATTGTGTAATCTTATCAACTTTTTACCAATAACCAACAAGATACGTCTCTTAGTCATCCAACAAGCGTTTGTATGATGTCCACCCTGTTGGTTCTAAACTTTTGCCTGTTTTTAGTTCTTATTTGCATAACACACCTCAGTGTTTCACGCGGTCTTTGTATCCCATGTCGAATCGATTGTCTATTGCATTGCTGATATTTTTGCTAAAAGTTCTTTTCTTCGTTTTTATCTTTACTCCGCGCCCGATAGTCCCTATTCAACTCAACCCTCACTCAACGGGCTGCCGTGCTTCATCATGCTCCTTTGGCGTTCACTTTCATTCATTGGGCCATGGGAATGCTGTACCTTTTCTATATGGCCTCGCTGCTCATCCTCGCTCGGAGCGTGGTTCGTCCCGGCGTGCTACGTTTCGTCTATCACTTCAACGATCCAGACTTCAAACCGGTACAAGATGTAAGCTATTGTCTAGATTCCGCTGACTATTCACCAACATTGTCCGCGCCTCGATTAGCTCGGGTCTTTATTTCTTCAAACTACTCAAAATCGCACTAATCGTACTAATCGCACTAATCTGAGCTAGGATATTTGATTGCTTGCAGTGCCATTGCACTGTCACGTTGTTAAGCGAGCTTCTCTAGCTATAACCATTGCGTGGGAATCGGTAACTTGATTCTAAATCGCACTGGCGCAATTTCATTTCGGGTTGAGATTTGCATTTCTCCAATCCCGTTCCTGTTCCTAAATTTCCGTTTTTCGGGTGTTCGGGTCGTCTAGTGCTGATGCGGTCTGTGCGCGGGTAAACCTTGTAGCTCTTTCGTAGCCCCATGTGACGCGCGCAGTGTTATTTCTCGCAGCTTCTGCGCGCGATCGATCATTCTCTCTCTCTCTCTCACACACACAAGCATCATCCGACAGACTGGTTGCCGTTTTCTGGTTCCTCACGTGATAAAAGTGGCTTTGCCACAGAATTTGTTTGATAAACAACAACTACCAGTTTTATTTTATTTATTTTCACACACGTCTGAATACAGACCGTGCGCAAAAAACAAATCATGGTACGATAATCTTTATAAAAAAGAGAAACTTTACATGATTTACATGTGGGCGGAATACTGCCAGGTTTCCCAGGCCCAGGCAGGTGAATTTTCTCGAGGAATGTACAACCGGAGCCTCCGGCTAGCCAAAGCCTGACCCGCAAGGCAGCGGGGCGGTGTTCAGTTCGTCGGATCGTACGTCCCTTGGACGGGATCAAGCGTCCAAGGTGCCCGATACACCTCAATGCCCAATTGAGCCGGTGACCATTATCACACCGAGGCGGATGTTGGTGCGTGTGATTCGTACGCCTCTCTATGATTGGTTTGGAATCAGAGTTTCTGGCCAAATCCCCTAGGTGAACTACCAGTGGTTCACCAACCCGGTTATAGCCCCGAATATCGGCTTTTCGTCCTCTCACTTTGGTGGGAAACACGTCTGCCACGAGAAGGCAGTGAGTAGGGCTTCTTCAACAGAGACTATTCGAGACGCCTGATCGTATGGGAGTATTTCGCGAGTTGTAAGGGAAGGGTGGCCAGCCGCAACGCTAGACACCCACCTCTGACTATCCTGAGGCTTTTTGAGGCACACAAGAAATCTAGGGGGCTTGGAGAAGTCATTTCATGTTGTTGTTTTCATTTTTTATGCAGTACAATCCGCATTTGTGTATTGTATGGCAGCCCTTTGATTGGCCGTTCCCCTCTTCCTGAAAAATTGTATCTTTGCGCATTAAATAAAAGGAAGTAAAATAAAAAGAAAAGAAAGAAAATCTCACCGTTCGTCCTCTGGATGAAAGACAATAGCAACAATGACGCAACAGCTGTTTAGTGGTCCATGATGCACAAAACAGAGAGTAGATGAACATCCGCCTGGTGTGTATGTAAATTCGCATTGAACTAACGGATAGTTTAAACGGGCTTTAACAATTGATCGATTTATCTTTCGATCACTAAATCACTTTATGAACCTTTAACAAGTTACACATGGGATTTTTCTGATTCAGTTCAGTTTGTACAACCATTAACCATGCACCATCGTGCACTGGTTTTGGTTGCTGTCCTTTGGCTGCTCAGTTGGGTGAACATTAGGAGAAAGACAGGAATGTCGAAAATAGTCAAACAGAAAATGGAGAATTTCAGTGGTCTAATGTTGCAAAGAAATTGAGAAGATGCAAGAACGCCACGGTTTACGACACTCAACCACATCACTCAGTGTCTCTAACCATCTGTTATG